TCCTTCCAAATTTTCTCTTTTTGGCCAGGACTTAGCAAGCACACAAGCGCACATTCCTTCAGGAATAAATGTCTGCCAAGCCTGATTTTTAAAATCTAAACTGTTTTGAACTATCCAAAGAAAAGGACAGCAGCCTTTGCATTGGGTTTATTCTTTTTTTTTTTTCTTAAGCAGAGAAACTTTTCCCATGCTGAGTTAACTCTAAAATAAATGGAAGAAGTTTCCTTTAAATTATTAAGTCATTGTCTTTGTCTTCATTATCCACAAGACTTAACTRTGAAATTTCTCCAGTAGTAATTTATGTATCACAGTTGCCTAAACAATCTTGAGAGGAGACAAACAAGTAAATAAACCTCAACACATTTTCAGCATTAATCTAAGTGGAAGGATTATACAATCTGTTGTGTAGCATTTAGCATATAAAAATGCTATTAAAAGAATAATAGAAATATCATTAATCACTATCACTAGAACTAATTGAATGATTTTTTTAGTATTATATACTTAATTCCTGTAAATTTTGATCATTACAAGCATGCACGGAAGTGAGAAAATGTGCACARTATCTAGCAGTAGGAAAAAAATGTGTTTGGCAGTACAATAATAAAAATTATATTAATAATAGACTGTGGACTAAAAACCCCAACTACAAAACCCAACAACAAAAACACCCAAGCAACAACCCCTCCCCAACACCACTGTTCCAGTCATTCCTAAGCAATACAAACAAACTTGGAAGAATAGTGTAGAAACCTGTGCATATTCCATTTAATAAAGGTACTTTGCTAATGACAGAGAGCAAATAAAACATATGCAGCATGTGGGCAGGCCTTATTAACCATACTGAATAGCTTCCTCATCAAGCTTGATACGTGCCCATGTGTCTCTCAGAAATGCCACATAATCCATCAGACATTCCTTTGCTTCACACAGACCCACTGTTAGCACAATGCCAAAGATCAATTGATTAATCTTAGAACCACTGAACTGGCTGGAAAATTTTAGCTTCCTGCCTATGAGCTGCCTCTCAGTTTCTTCTTCTTTTCATGATTTCTTCATATTATCTATTTTGAAATGAAAAAAACACTTTTCACATGTCCTCTGCATTAGGGAAAAGAAGAGGTTCTTTCATTAGACATATGACAAAAAAATTATTCAATTTCTTCCTTCCATTTTTCCTCCTTTGGCTAATGGCCAGGGATGTTCAGATAAAATGTGCAATTCTGCATGCAGCTAGTGTATTCATGATTCATGAATGACACTAAGAAATTCTCTTGAAAAATTCCCCCTGCTTCCTTGGCAGACCCTGCTTGGGAATTTGGTTGTTTAGGCCCATTAGTTTTCCAGTAATCACTCTTYAACCAAGAGCAGGTAAACAGCTTTCAGCTTTACAAGATGTATTTTCACAACAGATTTGCATAGCTGTTTGTGTTTCAGATCTACCCTGCTTCAGGACAGTATTCCAGATTCTCCCAAGCACAAATACCTACTTTTGGATTCAAATCCATGGGATTTGCATGCACATCTCAGCATGGATGCTTTGCAGAATTCCACAGCATTGAGCCTTTAACATGCAAGAAAGGACCGTGGCAGATTAGTGAGCCCATGTTGTGAGGTACAGTCATCATTTATCCTCTGATCTCTGCAGGATATAAATGACAACTCCTATCAACAAGGAGTACACACAGCCAGTAGGAAAACACAGAAGTCAACCAAAATGCCAAGTTCATCTTAAAGAGCACAGAAAGAGTAGGAGAAGTGAGCGGTACTTCCAGCCTTCTCTGTTATCTACACTGCTGGGGATTTTTCAGTGGAAAAAGGTAGCTGAGGGTTTGGCTTGACAGGGAATTAYAATCATGTGAATATGAAGGAAAAGCAAGCTGTTGGGAATCATGTTTCATTCCTCAAACTTAGTCACTTGTTTCCAGTAAAGTTTCTAAAAGAGGTTAACAACTTTTAATACATTAAAATATTCACTTCTCTTAATGTAAACAACCCAAGCCCCTGCTATTTATTTCTCCAGGCTCCAGTTTGTAGAGGGACTTATTTCAAGTCCTCCCTTCAAAGGTCTCAAGTAGATGTGTATTTGTGCTCAGCTAGGGTTAGAAGCCTTGCAAAATCCCATGCCAGAAAGAATAGCAACCCACTGCCAAAGTTGCCTTTGTCTGTAATTACCAAAAACTATGAAAGAGATTTGCAGAGGAGTTCATCAACTCCTGCCACTTTCAGYAGTCATCAGTTTGAAATGCTTTCCTTAAGAAACAAGGCTCCACATAAACAAAAAATGATGAGCCATGGGTGGGTTATTTTTGTCCATGTGAATTTTGATGCAACTGTTCACTACAGCGTTTTGGAAGTTGCTGCAATGTTGAGTAATCTCCACTCCTTTATTTTCACACCCCTTCATAGCCACCTTTCTGGGACAGATTATGGTTTCTGCACTGTACTTCTGAGAAAGTCTGCTGTGGGTCTGTCTTTTCCCATGAGATCTTAGGCAGGCTGTCGCATGAGGCCACACACATGGACAACACCATCTCGTGTCTCTTTTTCTTCACCCCGTTGCTCTCATTCCCAAATGTGGCACGGTGTTATGACCCCCTGTCATCCTCAATGCAATTTCTGTGTTTGTCGTCTGAGGAAAAGTGAGTCTCTTTTACTCTTCCAGCACACCCCTTTTCTCGTAAAAGAAATGAGAAGCAAGGCCCTGAACATCAAATTGCAATGAATAAGAAAGGAATCAGGATTGCATTGATGTTAGGAACCTCATTTTTTACAACTATCTAGTTGGGTCTGCTAAACTCATGTCTAAATCATTCAATCAACAAGTATCAAAGATTTTAGAAAATTTTTCCATATCCTGTTGYTCACAAGCACCTTGTCTGCCACCACGGGTTGTTGAGATACACCGGTATGTTTTGCCATACAGCTATAAAAACCTTTCATTCTCTACGTTTAGAACATGGTCTCCCACAAGCTCCTTCATGTTGTTAAAATGGGAAATATCAGGAAAGTTACATTAATAGTTAACTTTGAGACAAGAAAAGTGGGCATGGATGCACAAGCCAAGTTTCCTGGCAAATTTAGTTACAGATCATATGATCATATTCTTCAGCAGTCAAAAAAGCAAACAACCAGGAGGCAAAATACCAACTTCAGTCACTATATGCAGAAAACCAGCAAGGCAAATAAAAACATGTGTACTGATCTGGGGCCACAAAAGGCCAACTTTTTCATAAATAACTTTTTCCAACCTTGGTATTTGGCAATCAATAATTCTGACATAAATGGTGTTATTATAGTTAGCATCGTGCACCTCACGAGGCTCAACAAGGCCAAGTGCAAGGTCCTGCATGGCRGCAATCTCCAGTATAAATACAGACTCAGTGATGAATTGACCAAGAGCCGAGAAAGGCTTGGGCGTACTGGTGGATGAAAAATTAAATATGAGCTGGCAATGTGCACTTGCAGTCCAGAAAGCCAATTTTATCCTGGACTGCATAAAGGGAAGCCTGGCCACCAGGTCAAGGGCCATGATTCTCTCCCTCTGCTATGGTCTGATGAAACTCCACCTGGAATTCACCCCACGTGTGTTCAAGTCTGGGTCCCCAGCAAGAGACACAACCTGAGCTGTTAGAGGAGATCCAGGTCGCAAAAAATAATTAGCAGGCTGAAACACCTCTCCTGTGAAGAAAAAATGGGAATTGTGAGGGTTGTAGGTAAGCTCACAAGGGGAAAGTCCTGTTTAACCAACTCAATTTCCTAACATAATGAGGCCAGMCATCTAGTTGACTGGTAGATGTATTTTTATCAGAATTTAGCAAAGCTTTTGATAGYGTTTGCACAGTATCCTCTTGGTAAATTTTTCCTTCCAAGCTTTTCTTTTGCTTCATTCCCAAGTCACTGATTGTTGTCTTCTAAGTAACAACTGGCATCAAATAACACTCCCTAAACTAAGAAAAATATGACTGGCTAGTGCACTTAAAATAACAAAGATCCAATTTAAGAAAAAAAAAAAAGGAAAATACAGAGAAAAAAATTGTTAGAGGGCTCTCAGAACTTGTTTATTTTCAGCATTTAGTCTCATACGTTTGCTTAGCACCACAGAACTTTTTATTTTCTTAAGAATA